TGAGTCACCTACAATACAGATTTTACTGATTGGTATGAGACAAGATGTGGAAGAATGGTGCAGAACATGCAGCACATGTTGTGCTAAAAGGGGACCCAAGCATAAGGGGCGTGCTCCAATGCAGTTATATCAAGTTGGTGCACCAATGGAAAGAGTAACCGTCGACATTGCTGGTCCTCTGCCCCAAACTCGTGCTGGAAACAAGTACATTTGTGTGGTGATGGATTATTTCACCAAGTGGCCTGAGGCATATGCAATACCAAATCAGGAAGCTTCAACTGTAGCTTCAGCTATTAGTGATTTCTTCTTCAAATTTGGTATGCCATATGAACTGCATTCAGATCAAGGCCGTAACTTTGAATCAGCTGTGTTCCAAGAATGCTGCAAGTTGTTTGGCATCCGAAAGACCAGGACAACGCCACTTCACCCACAGTCTGATGGGATGGTAGAAAAGTACAACTGGACACTGGGACAGGAATTGGCAAAGTTTTGCAATAGCCGCCAAGATGACTGGGTTGTCTTTCTCCCTCCACTGTTGATGGTCTATAGGACAGCAGAGCATGAAACCACTGGATACACTCCAGCAAAGTCAATGTTTGGTCGGGAACTTTGGTTGCCAGTGGATCTGTTAACAGGACGCCCACCTTATGAAGAGTTGCCTGAGAATGTGTCAGAGTTTGTGAAAGTGTTATCAGAAAGGATGGATGATATTCACCATCAAGTGCGTTCAAACTTGAAAACATCTGCTGATTCGATGAAGTTAACTTATGATAAGAGACCTACTGAAGTCAGCTTTGTACCAAGAGACAAGGTATGGTTGTATAATCCCAGGAAGACCAAAGAGAAGTCTCCTAAGTTGTCTTCTCCATGGGAAGGCCCATATGACATAGTGGATCGTCTCTCAGACGTGACTTTCCGGGTAAAATGTGGTCGGCGAGGTAAGCTAAAAGTGGTGCATGCCAACAGGCTTTGGCATTGTCACAGTCCAGGACATTTCAGTTGGGACGAAGTGGACAACAGAACAAATGGTGCTGCTGAAGACGTGCCACCTGAAGAAACCACCGTCGAAGAAGAAACTCTACTCAGTTTTGAGAAGGGAAACGGTGAAGCTCTTGATGAAGTTACTACCACTGATGTGACTGTTATCGACGATAGGACATTTCCTGATGAAGCAGATGAACCCCATATGAAGCAGAAGCCAACGAGACGGAGACCAGTACGGAAGAATATACGTCCCGTAAAACTAAGAGACTTTGTTGAATTGTAATTTTGTTTGTAATTCTGTACATTTTAATTAAATTATTGTTAATTGTTATTGGTTTAATGTAAGTGGCTATTGCTCGGGACGAACAATACTAAGGAGAGGGAAGTGTTGTGTCAGCGAGGTCACGTGACTTGTATCACGCCACTTCTTTCTCGAACCTTCGTGAATTCTCGGGAGATTACTAGATTGGGAGTAGTGTGGTATATATATGTAAGATGGTCACAACGTGACGGGACAATGTGTAGGTAATGAGTAATTGAACTGCAGTCAGAGAGTGTGTAATTGAGTATTGTCGAGCACGAGCACGTGAGACGTTCTATCGTTTGTTATAGAGCGACTGTTGAAATTAAGTGTATCGGTTAAGTTGTATTCGGAAAGAATAAACCAGTTTTATTTAAGAAAGGACTAGTGTCGCTAAAGTTTCGTCGGAACGAATTTACGGAAAATTAAGTAAAGACCGGAGGCGTAACAGTATTGTTAAGGACAACATGTTGCGAAAATCCTTCCAACAAGAAAAGCATTGTTGTGTAAAATTGATTATTATGAATCACCATAATAAGGTAAAGACTCGATCTCATTTTGCTATTTGTTGCGTATAATAATAGGAGCTTTAGATTTGAAATAGTAGAACTTAAGTCATACATAGTTGTATAACTACATATACTTCTACTAGAACGTAAGAATGTAAGTAAAATATTCATTTAGTTAGGTATAATAATTACTGGGTTAAATTTGTAGTTTTATCTAAATAGACAGTTTGCTTTGATCAGAAGTTAATATTAATTTCACTAAAATAGTAGACGATAGTTAGACATTGAATTCTGTAGAAAAGACGCTCCAACGTTAACATAAGCTCCTATTTTAAATAATTTTTCCTTGAAATTAACCCATTTTATAATTCTAATTATCTATATTCATTGTTAAAATCCGTACAGTAGAGAGATGTTTTTAAATCTATACGCAGCATTCTAATAACTAAACTTGTTACTATAGGTGAGATCTTGAAATCTACTTATCTACACTGAGCGTCATATTTTTGTCCATCGCTTTTGTCTTCATAGTATCTTTTAAATTTAAGTTATTTTAGTTGTTTTTATGTTGATTTTCTAATCCAAAAGGATATCAGAACATTAGAACTTTTTTCAATGTACCATAAGGAGTTGAGAACAGTATCAATGAAAGTCGTTGATTTTCCTTATAGATGACATCGCATACCTTATACAGAAAGCTATGAACCAATATGAGACCTTCACCTGTTTAAGGTTTAAGCAGAGGACCACCGAGATAGACTACATTCGAATATTTAAAGGCCAAGGGTAAGATTTGAATTAACTAAAAAAAGTGCAAACTATGGCTTGAGTATACATGAATAAGTAAAAAAATGGCATCTCAATTTTTCACTACTGATAGAAACGCAAAATATTTTCTTATTACAGAATGTATTGACGCTATCATCGCGAAGTAGTTTGATGTAATAGATATTTAAGAACAGAAACTTCAAAAATAAGGCCTCTAAAGGAAACTGGGTGAAAGATCGATTAATTCATACCAAATTTTATTTTTATAACAGGAACACCTGATGTTAGAATACAATCAAATACCAAACAATATTAAATAATAAGGCGATATCCATCACTCACTTTGTACAGGTATACAGGTGAAAACTTGAAACATGAAATATATGTGTTTTTAAATAGGCAATGTCTACCTTTTGCTTATCAGCAAGTTTTCGGATTTTCCTTCATAAAATTTTGGGTACGATTCTCCGTGGACAGAACAAAAACAACCTAGAATGTCGTCGCTTTGCACTAAAATATAAACAAAGAAATAATAAACGATGTAATTCAATATTTGGTATTATACCTTATTTTATCATAATCTTGGAAAATGTATCAAAACAATACTAGGACTCATTATCCATTATTAATAAAAACGAAAAATAGATTCAAATTTATAGTAAAGATAAGGTTTTTCTCAAGAAAGGGTTTTATACCAAAGTATAATAACCAAAACCTTCTTCTGCTAAAAGAGTAACCTAAGGCATTGTGTATAATAACTTAAAATAGAAAAAAGGTGAAAGCTGTCTGCTCGTCGAAAGTTTTTGAATTTCGCGCAAAGCAATCGTATGGTATCTGCGCTAGTCATCCCTAATTTTGAAGTGATAGACTAGATGGAAGTCAGCTATTAAACATCAGTCACCGCTAACTCGTGGCAAGTTTAATAGTAATCATATATTTCAAAGTAATAACTTAAACAAAAACTTATAATTAAAATTATAACAAAGCTTCTTCATAAACACTTGTTTTCCATCTACCAACAAATAAAGATTTTGAAGTGATCCCACCCTTGAATACCCTACATCTTATTGACAATGAGAAAAGCATGATTGTTTGAGAAACAATCCAACAACTTTCATACTTTGACCTTGAATCCCTTTAGAATATTCAACAATCTCTAAATCGTCAACCTGCCAAGATTGTTTGAGATTGACTCAATAGGCTGGGAGTAATTAGTTAATAGGCTTTACAAAATAGAAATAGGATTAAGTTCAATTTTGACCCACTTAGGACATTTCCTATAGTTCATAGTGTTTACATATACATTTCGGTTGAGATTGTTGCAAAGAAACAGATATCGCACAACAGATTTGAGTAAATATTTAAGAAAATTAAACAACTTTGACTATAGAACATTTAACCATAAAAAGGAACAAATTACGGTTTCAATAAAGTATTTAAAATTGTGTACATATGAAATGTTCATTGGAATAATTTATTAAATTTTAAATTACGAATATTATTTTTCTAAAAATATAAAAACCCAGAGCACTTGGTTAAGAAACTGTTTTATTTAATTCTTAAAGCGTATTTTAAATCTGAACGATGCCTTATTCTAAACACGAACTAATCGACCAGGTCACATACTTAAAAGTTGAGACGTGGTCATACCTAATCAAAAATATACACTAGAGGAGGGAAAACAGGTCAGCAGCACCAGCAGTCTAAAAGACTATTATTAACCAAATGAAGATTGACTGTCCTTTTACTAAACTCCCCATAGTTAAAAGAGAGGATCAGATGTAACGATATATTGAAGACTATAACCTTGTATATATGAGTCTGTTTGTTTGTTTGTTTAGAATTAAGCACAAAGCTACACTATGGGCTATCTGTGCTCTGTCCATCACGGGTATCGAAACCCGGTTTCTAGAGTTGTAAGTCCGCAGACATACCGCTGTGCCACTAGGGGGCAATAGCACATATGGCCAACTACAAAGGGCATGGTAAGTTTAAGTAATTACATATTACAGTTATGATGACAAAAATAGCATAGCGTAAAAATATTAGTAGTAAATTATTATTCTTTATTCTAATATTAAATAAAAATACAAAACACAATTAGTTTTAGAGAAAAAGGTAAATTAAGTGCCTTGAAAGATGTGACGATTATTCTGTTTATTAGTTTGGTAAAAAAACCATTATTATTATGAATGTTTGTAAATATCACTTTTAAAATAGCCTAGTTATTTTTTATAAATCTCAATAATCTGTTTCTGCCGTAAAATGAACTGTTAGAATTTATTAACTAACTTACATTTCTTTACAGTTGTTACTTATTTTCATTTTTATCGGCCCCTCGGTGTGTCTGCGGACTTACAATGCTAGAAACCGGATTTCAATACCCGTGGTGGCAGAGCACAGATAACAAACATTTCTATAGACAGAGTGGCCAGGAAAACAAGCGCCATGGGCTCCCAAAGCAAGACCTAAAAAAGCTACTCTTTAACCAACTAACATTAATCAATGCAGTTCTGTTAAAAGCTATAGTAGTACAGGATAGCAACAAATATTAAAGTGACTGTAAACGAGAATAATAAGAAGTCCAATTTCTTGGGAAATATGCGGTCTTGGCAATCATTTCTGTAGATAATATTTGTGAAAGTTATAAGGTTTTTATTTCACATAATAACAGATATTTTCTCAAGCGTTTTTTTATATAAAAATATTGGTAAATTAATTAATTTGATCTGTTAGATTAATTACATAAAATTATGCTGTTGTTAAACCATGTATATACATCTAAAAATACCATTTATTTGTGAAATTAATGAAATCATTGAATTGAAATGTTTTCCCTCATCAGCTTATATAATACTTTGTTTGAACTTAAGTTAACCACAAATATATAGTTTATTATCTTAATTTCATCACATTAGCTATCCCAGAAAATAGCTTATACTAATTAGCTACTGGTTATTGCTGTCAACCAAGAAGTCAATCATTTGTTTTCTAGTTTTTTGTGGGTTAAATGTCTTATTTTGAATCATAATTGTGATTCAGAAGCTGATATGTATATCGTATGTGTGTACTTTATTTAAAGGTGTTATTCAGTGAAACTAAAGACAACAAATGTTCTATACATACATGTCGCTAGTGTATTAAATGTGTGTTCAGTTATTGGCTTATCCATTTACAATTGATAGATAAAAGCTAGATGTTCTTAAGATGTTAAATTCCAATTATGTGTTAAGAAAGTTACATAAAGTTAAAATTGAAAGCCTTTTATGATTTTTCTTTCGTGTGTACGTTATTTCTCCCTGAATTTTATTTAGTTTTAGTAAGATTTTACAGAAAGTCAAGTATATATCTTAGCAATATTTATTTCTTTATTGCAGATGTTACTCCTATGTAGGAAATATCCACAGTGGAGTTCAGGACCTGTCGCTGGGAAGGGGATGTGAATATGTTGGAACCATTGTTCATGAGTTGGGTCACGCTGTAGGTTTCTGGCATGAACAGAACAGATCTGACCGTGATAATCATTTAATTATCTATTGGAATAATATCAAATCCGGTGAGTTTGAAGTATTCTATGCGTAGCTCAATAAACGTATAAAAGTCAATGTGTTAGCTACAGTCAGTAAAGAAATATATTTACAATTTTGAAGAAAGCAAATTAACTTTCACAATCTAAGTAATCTGTTTACAAATTTTATGGTATTCTATTTGAATGAAAATAATGAAAGAATCGGATTTGGGTATTTAATCTAATATTAATCTATACATATTCATATATTTCTGTGCTGATATTCCCCGGTGGGTCAACGGTAAGTTTCCAGTCTTACAATGTTTAATTCCGGTTTTCGGTGGACAAAATATAGGCAGCCCCAATGGTCAGCGGCGAGTCTGTAGGCTTACGACGCTAATAATCGAGTTTCAATACACCTGGTGGGCAAAGCACAGGCAGCCCGTTGTGGATATTTGTGGTTAACAGCAAACCAAACCAAACTTGTATTAATATTTCAAATGTTTCCAAAAAGATTTAATAATATTAGGATTATTCAAATATAAATAACCCTCGTTTATTTTTGCCATGCCCGACCATAATAAATCTATTTCAGGTCATATACTTAAGAAACATAAGTAATCTTAACTCATAAGAACAATCCTACTCGTTTAAATATTTGGATTGTACACAAAGTTGGAAGAACTTTAGTTTCGTGCATACTAGCTGTATAATAATAAATGCTCCACAGTAAACCGGATTCTATTGTTTTCTGTACTTTTTCTAGGCATGGATTCTCAGTTTTTTAAACTCAAATTATCTGAGAACCGCTTATTAACTGGCTTCGATTACAACTCAATTATGTTGTATGGGGAAAGGTCATTCTCAAAGGACAACATATCGCCAACAATGAAAGCCAGAAATGGAAAGTTCCTGGATGAAGTTTATAACAAACCGGGTCTTAGTTCCAATGACATTATTCGTATTAAGATGCTCTATGGGTGTTAAAAAGAAATACTGAATTTTAAATAAAGATGTGTTTAATAATTGGAAAAAATGTATGAATTTATTATTCCAACGCGAGTGATCTAACAAGCTGAAAAATATGTTCTTTAAATTTCGTTTAATATGTGAGTGTCAAGTACAAAATTATAACTGAAATGTTAAAAATTCACTAAAATATAAAAATATTGTAAGTTTATTTCTTCTTCTTCGTTTTGATTAAATAAAATTGTCTTATATTTCTTTAAAAACATTATTTTGTCATTACTATAAACATATTTTCGCTTTTTTTACAAACATTCATAGAATAATAATATGTTATAGACAATCTACAGATAGTTTAATGAGCAACAAATTAAATCAAACTCAAACTATATAGTTTGTAAACATCCTTGTATGTATGGACCAAAAAGGAACGCATATATTAAGCGACGGTGGGGAACGTATTGTTACAACAACGGAAGTCACGCAACGCTGGAGCATGTTCACTGATTTAAATAATTTATCGATGGATTAAGCGACGGTATTAAACGTATTTTTATCGGTTGTTTCTTTTATAATATCACAAAATTAATTTTTTTTTTTAAATATTTAAGACCATATTAATTATTATAATTGAAAAATACTTAATCGTAACATTTCTAGCTGCAACAATAAACCTGTATTTGTATGTTCTTTCTGTGTAGTTTGTATATCAAGAAAATTAGGTATTAAATCATAGAATTTTATTAAAAGCAAAACAAAGTTTGATGTGCTTATGTTCCTGTTTAACTGGGGGTTTAAATATTAGAATCCGGGTTTTCATTATTAATCACGGTATTTAAATGAACTGTGTTAATCTTGCTTAAACAAGATATACTACAGCCTGCATAGCCATTGTCAAATCAACAAAAGTTTCATGAGCAATGTTGAACAAATATTACATTTTTTTCATCATTAAACCTAAAACAACAACTAACGAACACAGATAAGGTTTACCTTATAATTCCATTTATTGCAAGAAATATATATATATATATATAATTCAATTACAATTTGTCAGAGACATTTTTATATAAATGTACTACCGAACATTTACATAATTAAATACTCAACAATCAGCTATTCTTGCAAGAGAGCCAGTGACAGTAACATATTTATTTATAATAGGGTGTTAAATATCATAACCTTGAAGATGCATTCAACATTCATCCTCTAAATGTGAACATAATTTATCTTCTCGCGTCTGTTCTCCCACATATCATATGCTCACCGATAACTTTGATGCCATGACTAACGAACATTTACTGCTATAACTGAGTAAAGATCCTAAATTCTGGTTATGCATTTGTGTACTTTAGCCACCATGTCTTCCAACAGATACAGGAGTAGTAAGAACCCCACCTTACCGCCCATAGGATGCCGCCACAGCGAAGGGGAGAGGGAGGTGATGTCATCGAAGATGAAGAGATCATAGTTCCAAATTTTGGCATCAGGTGGCGAGTTGCTAGGCCGTCATATTTAATTATTACATAATAGTATCATGAAGTTGAGTTCAAAACATGTTTCAACAAGAACTTATTAATTAATTCTTCCTCTCCAGCCAAAGGAAGAGTACTACATCTAGTATAATCACTAATTAATTAATTCGTCCTCTCCATCCAAAGGAAGAGTACTATATCTAGTATAATCACTAATTAATTAATTCGTCCTCTCCATCCGAAGGAAGAGTACTACATCTAGTATAATCACTAATTAATTAATTCGTCCTCTCCATCCGAAGGAAGAGTACTACATCTAGTATAATCACTAATTGAATTAATTCGTCCTAAAAATGATTATATCTTAATCATAACTTACTCAAGTGATTAAAGATTTCTGTAATATTAATACAATAAAAAAGCTGGACACAGTAATTCGTTTTAATAATTTATTTTCTCACAATAAAGATTTTGCTCTCTGATCTACATAAAGAAGTACATCTGTTAAGGACGTATTTACATGAAAACTTTTTACAACAAAATCATGAACAACATATCATTACTATCTTCGTGGGATCCAAATTTAGATAGAACGTGCAATGTCGTGGACAAGAATAACACATTTCTGATTGACGAGTGAAGGGCGTTTCTGATGAAGGGTTTGATTTAAACGTTTCAGTTGCTGACTATAGATCCCTGCATTGACAGTTCGCTGTAGATTGAGGAATTCGAAATGAATAACTTCTTTGATGTCCCACCAAATGCAAAGCATCACTTTCTGCGGATGGAATCCAGGTTTTGGGGTCGGAAGTGTTTTTTGTCTATGACTGAGCCATTGTTTTTTGTGTTTAATATTCGCATAGAGAATTCATTTTTCATCATGGGTGGCAGTTCTGTCCAAAAATGGTTCACGCGCATTACGTTCCAGAAGAAACGGAGCAACGTTCACACATTGGAAATGATGATCATCGGAGAGTTTGAGAGGCACCCAAACACCTTCTTTATGGAGTTTCCCATATTCTTTAGAAGCTTACCTATTGTTTCGTAAAAGCCATGCAATTTCAGAGCCATTTAACGAGTATGTTGCCTTGGGTTAGACTCAACAAGCGTCTTCAGAGCATTAATATAAATTCCAATATGTCGGCCCCTGCCATCAATTGTTTTTTAAGGCTAAAGTCACCTGAACGAGATTTTCTGAACCATCGTTGACACGTACGAACTTTCAAAACATTTCCATAATCTTCTATGATATTCTTTGTGGCTACAAAGGCGTTGTTTTCCTTCTTGTATTCCACCAGCATTATATGCCGAATGTGATTCTCGTTGTGTGCCATCACTGTAATGGATTAGAGTATACTAAACTTTATACATTATATAGACTACACTAACGTGACGTTTAGGTGATGTACGTTTTTTGGGAGGTGATTAATTAAAGTGTACCAAAACGCGACATTAATCTCTTGACAACCTAATATTTATAAATTCCACGATGTGTAAAGTAGTGCCACACTTAAGTTTTAAGAGTGCAATTAAATCTTTTTACTATAGATGTTTTTTTTTCGTTATGTATGGTAAAGAAGTGAATGTCTTGTTCCTTGAGATATCGTTGAAAGAAACGATTAGTAAACTCTGTCCCAGCGTCGGTTTGAAGTTTACAAGGTTTTCGACCCTGTTTTAAAATTTGTTTGAAATATTTTACAGGTGCTGCACCTTTCTTATCTTTGAGTGGAACAACCCATGCACATTTAGAAAACATGTCGATACATGTGAGTAAATACTTAAACTGATTGTTATATTGACTTAAGTTAGAGAGGTCCACCAAATCAGCCTGCCATTGCATCGATCCCTGAAACGATAACTCGGTTTCTCGAAAACTTATATTTTACTGGTTTGTGTAAAGTGTATTTATCTTGTAGACTTAACCAGTAATTAACCTGATTTAGACTTACGGGCTTACCTAGCACTTTTACAGATCTAAATAAAGGTTGTACTGCACCAAAACTTGCAGGATGTGCATGGTAATAATAGATAGATTGAAAAGTTTTTTATACATTATTTTCTATGCCGTCTACTTTTATTTAATTTACCATCAACTTTGTCTCTGACAGTAGTAATAATCTGACCTTCACAACAGATGATATTAATTCTTAGACGACTCAAGATATTTATAAGCTTAAAAGGCTGACAAAAGCCCATGACGACAGACAAGACACAAATGAATAATACAATAATATTTTTATTAAAAATAATCCCATTTAGATACATTACATTTAGGTTTTCTAACACATGTTTCATATATTTCCATCTATCTAAATTTCCAACAACTTCTTGAGGAACATTCATATATGATAATCGTTCTGCAAATTCTTTCCATTCTGTTAGGTTAAAATTGTTTCGTTTTCGTAGCACATCGTTGATTAAGTCGATTATGTTACTATTTGGGACGGATCGTAAACTAATCACTAATTCTCCACGATCATTCCACATTAGATCACCACTGGAACGCATCAAGTTTAGTAGAATTTCAGCTTTCTTTTATATTTCTGAGGAACGCTGTCAACGATCTTTGAATTTTCATGAGTCAGCGATTCCATTCTAATTTTAACGGGTTCCATGGCTCGTGAGTGAAAGGTCTGATGACGCTGTTGCAGTTGGTTTATTATCTAAGGGTAATGTATCATTTTGTACGACTGACTTCATATCATTATCTATAGAGTTTAATATTTTATGTACAGACCTTTCATAAACTTTGGATTGATAAAGCGACTGTACCAATTCTTCTGGAATGAGAACCCTTCGTTTTGCCATATTTTTAGATTCCAACAACTTTACCAATAGCCCGTCCTACCAAACCACCAAATAATGAAAGTATTGGTGCTATGAGTAATGGTAAAACCCACCTTTCTGTATTAGCAAGTTTCTTTTCTGTTTAACTAATGTTTTCTTGACAGCCAACTCTCTCAATAATGATCTCTATCGTCTAAGTTTCTACTTTTGTATGTTCGTCATGGGAAGTTATCCATTAAAACATTTAAAGCACATTCATAAATACTCAAGATAAAGGCAATTATTCCTTATTTTAATTTGGTTATGTGTAGTTTTAGGTAATGCATGAAGCAACTCTTGATGTTGTTTTATTCTAAGTGTCATAATGAATAAATGAAAAGAGATTGTGAGTACAACATATAAAAACTGTTTATTTATACATGCAATTAGATGTAACATCAACTTTCTTCACACTACAGTGATAATAATTGTTAATAAGAAACGGACAAAGTAGATTTTGGAAGTTGATCAACCTTGGGGCATCCTAACAATTCCAGATTATAACAAAGAATTTTCGGCAGCCTTGTCAATATCTCGGCTTTCTCTCTCCCCTTTGTATAAAATTGTAAAGTTCTCTCTCAACAATCTAGCCACACTCCACAGGTAGTGATAGTCGATATTACCAGATTTCCATGGAAAACTATAATTCCGCATCACCCAATTACACTTTATCCAACAGGTTTGAAGTGTCACACCATAAAGAAGTAACCAGAGCATAGT